CCCCCAGCCCCCCCCCACCTGGAGCTCTTGTCCATGGGCTTGACCCCCAGCGCGCGCTGCAGGTCCTCTCTGTCCAGCCCGCTGTACGCCGCCACCTCCTGCGCTCCGTAGTTGGAGGCCGCAAAGTTGGTCTGCGCGTTGTCGCCGTGCAGCGCCAGGCTCACCCTGCAAGGGCCAGGGGGAGGGGCAAGGAAGGGTGGTGGGAGGGAGCCGACCCGCCACCCAGACCAAGGCCGCCCCCGCCGCTCAGCAAGGCAACGGCGGGAGGGGCCGGGAACAGCCGGCGGCGCGGCGGAGGGAGGAGAGGGCGGGGGGGGGGCAGCGACAGAAGGTTGCGCTGGCGCTCGTGGAGCGGCACTGGCACTGATGCAGGCAGGGCGCCCACCCACTGCATGGGAGGGCGCCCACCGACCCACCCACCGCATGCTACACACTCACTTGTCGTACACCTTGGCCGCCTCCTCCTCCGTCTCATAGTAGCCCAGGTGCGTGACCTTGCCGTGCACCAGGATGCGCGCCTGCCACTGGTTCTTGCGGTTGGAGGAGCCCACGCCCATGAAGCGGCTGGTGCGCTGGCGGCTGGTGAAGCGGCGGCGCGGCGCCTGCGGGGCGGGCGGGGCCGGCGCGAGGTGGTGGGCGGCGGGCAGCAGCGGCGGCATGTCGAGCCAGCGGCCAGCAAAGGAGGCCAGGCGCACTCCGCCTGGGCGGGCCCCACGCCGCCGCAGACGACACCCTGCTCCCCGCCGCAGCGGCAGCACGAGGCCAGCCCAGGCGCCTGCCCCTCCCCCTCCCCCCCTTCCCCGAACCCCACCTGCTTGATGCGCTCGCTCTTAAGCGTGGTCTTCACCTCCTCCCGCGTCTTGCCCGTCAGCGGCGGGATGGTCTCACCCGTGTAGTCCCGCGCATCAAAGTTGGTCTGCAGCAGGAAGGGTGGTGAGACGGGGCAGCGAGGGGGCGTGGCCAGGCGTGAGGCAGGGCTCAAGAGAGTGCGGGGGGCGGGGAGGCGGGTGGGCAGGGCGGGGCACGAGGCGCGGCTCGCGGCAGCTTTGGGAGAGGCACGGTGGCGGGCCTCCAGCCCCCAGCCGCCTGCTGCCACCGCGGGCAGGCTGGCATGCCCCTGCACCAGCACACGCACCAGCACAGCACCACCGCCACCACCAGCACACCTGCAGGTTTGGGTTGTCTCGCCCCAGCAGGCCGATGGCGGCGCGGTCGTAGGCGCGCGCCGCCGCCTCCTCCGTGTCAAAGTACCCCACAGACACGCCAGACTTGCCCAGGGCGGCCACCTGGCGAGGGGGTGGCGGCGCGGCGGGGCAGGTGGAGCGCGCCAGCCGGCATGCCAGCCACAAGCTGCACCCTGCCCCAAAGCGCCAGCACATGGCCCCTGGCCGGCCAGGCAGCCAGCCAGCCGGGCAGGCGGTCGCCTGCCCACCCGCCTTGACCGCCCTCCTGCCGCCCCACCCGCCTGCCCGCCCGCCCTCCCCACCTTGATCTGCACCCTCCACTTGGCCTTCTTGCGGTCGTAGGACACGCCGCGGTACCGCGACTTATTGAGCCCGCCGCTGCCCATGCAGTCGGTGGGGCTGCCGTCGCCGTCGCCCTCGCCCTCGTCGTCCGACCCGGGGCTGCCGGGGATGGGCAGCGGCAGCGCCACCACTGCACCACACAGGCGCGTGCGTGCGCGTGTGTGTGAGAGAAGGGGAGCCAGCAGCCAGCTGCGGCGGGCGCCTGCCCCTGAACACCATCACGGGCGACGCGCGCCAGCCCAGGCAGGCGGCGCCGGGGCACACGTGGCCGGCAGCGGCAGCAAGGCAGGGCGAGGCAGCGGCAGGCAGCTTGGGGCAGGCAGGCGGGCAGGCGGCAGGCGGGCTCAGGTGACAGGCAGGTGGCAGGCAGGCAGGCAGGCAGCCTCCCCGCCGCCCCGCACCCGAGTGTGAGGAGGAGGGGTGCCCCGTCTCCTCGGGGTCCATCTTGACCAGCGGCTGGGTGTTGATGGGCACAGGCACGGGCACCGACAGCGCCGCCGCCTGCTGCTGCTGGCCGCGCATCAGGGAGGGGCCTCCGGGGTGGCCCAGGTGCTGGTTGGGCACCAGGTGGGCGCCCGGGGCCATGCCCCCCAGCACCATCCCCGAAGACAGCTGCGAGCTGAGGCCAGACAGCTGAGGGTAGCCGCCCGGCGCGCCCTGCACGCCCAGGGAGGGGCTGCCGCCGCCGTAGAGCTGGGGTTGGGCGCCGACGCCGGGCGGCGGCGAGGGTGTGGTGCTGTACGGCACCCCCGGCAGCGAGGTGAGGGAGGAGGGCACGCCGGTGATGCCACCGCTGGCGCCGTGCTGCTGCGGGTAGAAGGACGTGCCGCTGGGCAGCGGCTTGCCGGGCAGTACCAGGGGCTGCGGCCCCGCGCCCGCCGCCGGCGCCATTTCGTAGCTGGGCAGCGGCGCCATGGCGCCGCCGCCGTGCATCATGCCGTACTGCGCGCCGCCCTGCTGCGCGGCCTGCTGCCGCTGCACGGCGTCCCACAGCTCTGCGCTGCTCATGGGGTACTGCTGCTGCTGCTGCTGGTGCGCCTGGTGCGCCCCCTGCATGTCTGCTGCTGCTGCTGCGCCGCGTCAGAGGAGCAGAGGGCCCGGCGGCATGCGCCGGGCGATGGTCGCTATGCTGCGCAAGGGAGTCCTGCAGGGCGCAGGCACAGCGGGGGAGGGGTTAAGCAAGGGGCGGCCCCGCAAAGCTGCAACCAAGGGTAGGGCGGCGCCGGCGACCAAGGGAGGGTTGCAGGCAGCGCCGCTGGGCGGGCTCCCAGTCGAGCACATTTCGCTGCCTATGTCTGCTGCAGGAGCCACAGACAGGGAGGCACAGGGAGAGCGACGAGTGGCCCCGGGGGGATGCCCAGCGAGGTGGGGCGGGCCACTGGCACCCTTTCCCGGCATCCGAGCCATGCGTAACCACCGGATGGGGCGGCGGCCGAGCGTGCGGGGGAGGCTGGACAGGACCAGGGCAAGCCAAGGCCTCTACAGGGCGCTGTCGGCAACGGTAGCGCTGCTACGGCTGCCCAATGGGCGCTGCGACATCTGGGCGACGCACCGGGACTGTGGGAGCGACTCGGAGTGTCCCACCAAGTTGTGACGAGAGGAAGCCGCTAACTCGCAACCCGCCGCAAGCTACTGAAGGGACAGACGATGGACATTCGCCAGGGAGGAGCCCCGGGCTTGAGAACCACCATTTCGGGCGGGAGCACCGGGATAGATGGAGTACAAAGCGTACCTCAAGCTTCAATTTGGGCCTCTGAAAGCGCCGATAGCCAATGCCAGTGCCTCGGCAGCCGATCTCTCACTTAACTCTATTCCAGAGCCGCCCACAGCTCCTCGCCCCAAACTTGCGGCGCATTGTGCTCTTGCGCCGTCTCTGATCGGCAGCACCCCATCAACGATGGCAAGTGCGATCATGGTTGTTGGACGCATCTGTGCGGCTGCCCCGACAGCGGCAGCTGAACGCTATCAGCAGCGGTGCAGCCACCGCCCGCCGGCGTCTCAGCATCGCCACTGCAGAGGAGCCCTGCTGCAGCCACTGCTGCTCAAACAGCAGCAGCAGATACTGCAACACCGCAGGCGGCAGCAGCAGGGCAAGTGGCGCCCGCTTCCTTCACGGCCCCGTGGAGTGCACGCCACCTGCAGCAGAGGTGGCGGCAGCACGGTGAGGCGCCAGCAGAGGCTCTCTGTGTGCATACCAGGCGGATGGGATCGTGCATCCTGTGTCCCCAGCCAGCTGCATGGGCACGTGGCTGGGCTGTAGGCTCGGTCTACTCAGCTACAAGCACCCAGAGAGCCAGGACACACACACACAACAGTTTCTGCTGGTCCCATCACCGCCATCCTGCTGCTCCATCGGTGCCCCGCCTGCCCCACTCTCACTGCCGCAGATTCTCACGCTGCCCACCATCCTCACCCTGGTTCGTGTGGCCGCCGTGCCGGCCCTGGTGGCGGCCTGGTACTCGGCAGCGCCCTGGGCCGGCGCCGCGTGCACCGCCCTGTTTTTGGGCGCCTCGCTCACCGACTGGCTGGACGGCTACCTGGCGCGCAAGCTGGTGAGCAGGGCGGGGCGGCCTGGTGTGGCGGGCCGCCTGGGTGGGTGGTTTTGGACTCTTGCAGAGACAGCAGCTGTCTTGTTGCATCGCTGGCCTGGCCGAATGCGCGATGTGCAAGCCGGGAGAGCAATGGTCACACCCCTCCTGCTATCTCCGCCCCCCGCCTCCCAGCCCAAACCCGCTCCCTGCCTCCCCCCCACCACAGAAAGCCGCCTCCGCCTTTGGCGCCTTCCTGGACCCTGTGGCCGACAAGCTGATGGTGGCGACAGTCATGATCCTGCTCAGCACGCGCCCCCTGCCGCTGGGCCTCATGGCCGGCAACACCTGGGTCGTGCCGCTGCTCACATGCGGTGCGCAAGCTGCCGGGTTGCCCGCTCTGGTTGCCACGCGCCTGCCCGGTTGCACTCTGAACCCTGAAACTCGCGCCATGCTTTTGGCTCGTGGCTGCATAGCAGAAGCTGCGGTCCCTGCTGCCTGTTGCCCGACGGTGCTGTGCCATGCTGCGCAGTGGTGATTGGGCGGGAGATCACGATGAGCGCGCTGCGCGAGTGGGCGGCGGCGCTGGGCCCCGAGGCGCACTCTGCCGTGGCTGTCAGCTGGGTGGGCAAGTGGAAGACCGCCGCACAGATGGCCAGCCTGGCGCTGCTGCTGGCGGCGCACCAGGGCGCGGCCGCCGCGGCGGGCGGCGCCGGCGTGGCAGTGCCACCCACGCTGCTGCGGGCCGCGGGCGCCGGCGGCCTGCCGCTGCTGGTTGTGGCCACAGTGTTGACGGTCTGGAGCCTGGCGCTCTACTTTGCCGGCCTGTGGCGCTTCTTTTGAGGGGGCGCTTGATGGTCTGTGTGGTTACTGCCGATCGATGGCCCACCCTTATGAGCTGCCAACCTTGAGAGCCTTTCCAGCGAGGGACAAGGTGTGCCTCTCTGTTTACACACAGAAGCAGAGGTTGCAGTTGAGAGGCCAGACAGTGGGCAAGAGGCATCAGGCTGCCGGGACAAGGCGGAGCGAGTTGGAGACAGTATCAATTGCACGTGGCCTGGATGAGATTGGCACGCATGGTGCAGGAGGCGAGAGCGTGGTGCGGGGAGGAAAAAGCGCAGCCACAGGCCCTGGGAGAAAAAGCGGAGCACCACATGGGCAGCCAGCCGCGGGCACGCCCCGGCTGCGCCGCCGCGCGTGCGGCGGGCGGGCGGGGGCTGGGAACCAAAAACCCGCGATGCAGGGCAGAGCTCCAGGCCGAGTGGAGGCTTGGCTGCCAGCTAGCTGGCCCCGCGGCGTAGCAGGGAGCCCGCCGCTCACTGCGGTGGCGCGGGCATGCCGAGGTTGCTTGCCAGCTGCCTCATGCGTGCCTTCATGCCGTCCACGCTCTTCAGGTGCGCCTCCTTCATCGCCTCCGCCACCAGCTGGTTGAGCTTCTCCACGCCCTGCACGCGCGGCGCGGGCGGGGCGAGTGGGGCAAGTTGGCCGGCTGATCCCGGCGGCACGTGCACGTGCATGGCCGGCACAGGCAGCGGCATGCTGGCACTGGCACGCTTCCGTCACGTGCCCAGCACTCCCAGCTACACACCACCACTGCCTCGGCATCATCAGCTCCACACCACAACTATCACCACCACCACTGCCACCACCACCACCACCACCACCACCACCGCCGCCACCGCCACTGCCACCACCGCCACCGCAGCCGCGCACCTGGTCGTAAGCCTCCTGCGTGATCTCCACCGTCCGCGGCTCCTGGTTGCCGCTCATCACCACACGCACCGTCTCATCCGCGCTGTACCCATCAAAGTCGGTGCTGCAGGGGGGAGGGAGGGAGGGAGGGAGGGAGGGAGGGGCAGGGGCCGCGTGCACGATGCTCAGGCAACACGTGTGGGTGGAGGCAGGCTGGATGCCGGGAGAGCAATGATGTCAACAGGCACAACAGAGCTGCGTCTGGGCAAGCTGTCTGGCCCGCGTGTGCATCTGGGCACCCCTGCCTCCTCCGCGCTCACTTGGCCAGCTCCTCCTGCACCTTGGCCGCCTCCACCTGCACCATCGCCTGCGCCTTCTTCAGGTTCTCCATCAGGTTGCCCATGTTGCCAAAGGGGTTCATGCCGCCGCCGCCCTGCACCAGCACGGAAGGGTGAGAGGGGCCCAGCTGAGCGGGGGCGGTGGCGAGGGCAGCGTGGGAACCTGCCACCCTCGATTAGGCGGCATGGAATCCCTGGTTGTAGCGGGTGCCGCTGCTTGGTGATGCTGAAGGGGATGGAGATCAATCCATCCCGAGGCGGCAAGAGTGCCACGGGCGCCCATCACCGCCACCTCCGCCTCGCCTCGCCCAGCTTGCGGCATGCACGGCGCACTCACATCCTCTCCGCCCTTGCCGAACAGCGCGCGGGTGGTCAGGGGCCGCCGCTGCTGGACACGGGGCCTGCAGAACACACCACGCCGGCCGATGGGTGTGGCGGCCACACAGCACAGGCACAGACCTCCACATGCATGCATCCAATCCTCACCTCTGTGCCCGACACTGCTGAAAGGCGGCCCGCTGAGGGGTGGTAAGCCTGAGGCTGGCCATAGTTGCAGAGCGAGAGGAGGGCGATGGATGCCAGCAATCAGCGCCTACACCTTGCAGGATGGGAATGCGCTGGTGATGGCGTGATCCCGTCAATGGTAGCACGGGAGGCTGAGCTGGCTCTCTGCCTAGGCATGCCGCACAAATTAGGCTGTGTCCTCTGCTCAAACGCATAGCACTTGCTGTGTTAGGGTTCATTTGGGTCGCGGGCGGCCTGACGTCGAGCACACCCACCAACCACAGTTGCCGACAGTGGTTCGGCCTCTCAGCAGTCCTAAACCAAACACCACAAGCCTGGGCTGTGATCGGGCCGCCATGAGGCCGGCGCGGCAGCACGCCGCTCTGCAGCTGGCAGTTTTGGCGGCGGTAGCGGTGCTCCACCTGGCGGCTGCGCTGCCGTCGGTCAACAGGGACCTGATTGGGTGGAGCGAGCGGAAGAACTCAAAGGCGGCCGGCAGCCGCGCGCCAGGCAGCCAATCCTCCGACTCGAGCAGTCGGCCACGGGGGCCCGTGGTGCGGGGAGCGGTCTGGCTGTCGTGCGTTGACCTGTCATGAGTTCTGCTTCATCAACTCGGCTTCCCCTCCTGCACATCCTCCTGAAGGTGCTGTCCTGGGACCCCCGCATCTTCCTGTACCAGCGGCTGCTCACAGAGGGTGTGCGCACGCGGCCGGCGCCGTGGCAGCGCCAGCATCCCATGCATGCACGCATGTGGGGCAGGCTGTGTAGAGGAGGCCACGCCGCCGAGCTACCTCATCCTGGCCTCATGCCGGCGCTGCCTCCCTGCTGCAGAGGAGTGTGACCACATGATGACCAAGGCGGGGCCGCGGCTGACGCGCAGCGGCGTGGTGGATGTTGACAACCCGGGCGGCGAGTCTGTGAGGTGCGCTGCTGCACGCTTTGTCGCACGCGGCCGCCAGCCCCCCGCTCCGCCCGCCCGAGCGCCCACCACCTGCAGGCCTTGCATGCTGCCCAGCAGCAGCAGCGCGCATGGCGGGATCCAGCCTTCCCCCGCCTCCATGCTGCTCTGCTGCCCCATGCTGCCGCCACGCTGGACCTGCCCCCATGCTGCCCACGCCCTCGCCCAGCCCACTCGCTGCCCTGCCCACCCCGCCCCACCATGCTCTACCTCTGTCATGCCCCTTTGCCTCCCGCAGCGACATCCGCACCAGCTATGGCATGTTTTTCGACCGAGGCGAGGACGAGGTGGTGCGGGAGGTGGAGCGGCGGCTCAGCGAGTGGAGCCTCATCCCGCCGGGCCACGGCGAGGGCATCCAGGTGCGGCAAGGGAGAGGGATGCCCAGCTGTGGTGGCGGGGCAGGGCAGCCCAGCCGGGCGGCAGGGTCAGTGCCAGGAAGAAGGGACATGTGTGCTGTCGCACCAATGCTGTCAAGCCCGCCCCGCTGCGCAGGTGCTGCGCTACGAGAATGGGGAGGAGTATAAACCACACTTCGACTATTTCTTTGTGAGTGCGGCGCGTGGCGGGCGCTCACCTGGTGGGGGCTGCCCAGGCGGCTCAGTTGGTTTGGGGTGCCATGCTACCGCGCGTGCCTCCACCTGCTCACCAGCCCCCTCGCCGCTCCCCGCCTCTGCAGGACAACCTCAGCGTGCAGAACGGCGGCAACCGGCTGGCCACCATCCTCATGTACCTGGCTGAGCCCGAGTTTGGAGGGGAGACGGGTGGGCGCCTGGCTGCAGGGGCCCAGCCGGTTGGGGGCTGGCTGCAGGCCGGCGCTGCTGGCGTTCCTGCAAGAGGGGAGGCACAGACGGGTGTGCATGCCTGGCTCCCGGGCCTCGATGCCGCTCATCCTCCCTGCGGTGCCACCCCCCTGCAGTGTTCCCCAACGTCAAGGCGCCCCCCGAGCAGACGCTGGAGGCTGGGTACAGCGAGTGCGCGACGCAGGGGCTGGCGGTGAAGCCGCGCAAGGGAGACGCCGTGCTCTTCTTCAGCCTGCGCACAGAGGGCACCCTGGATAAGGGCAGCCTGCACGGCAGCTGCCCCACCCTCAAGGGCTTCAAGTTCGCCGCCACCAAGTGGTGAGGCGGCACCAAAACATTGCACGCCTGTGCGGCATGGAACCGCACACCAAGCCGGTGCAGTGCCCGCCCGCCTTCTGGAGTGTCTGTCTCTCTCCGCTTATGTGCTGCCGCTGCTGCTGCTGCTCTGCCTGCCCCGCCTGTGGTGTTCAGGTATCACGTGGCTCACTACGCCATGGGCGGCGAGCGAGCGGTGCAAGTGAAGCAGCAAGTCTTTGTGCCGCCGCCGCCGCCCGCGCCGCCAGGTGTGTGCTGGCGGCTGGGCCGGCCGCCCTTGGGGGGGTGCACAGCCAGCACACGCTGCTGCACCCTGCTGCAAGCCTGTCCTGCCCGCCTCTGCAGGCTGCAAAGATGAAAAAGACGCATGCGTAGGCTGGGCGGAAGGAGGGGAGTGCGAGAGCAACCCGGGCTTCATGGTCGGCACCAAGGAGCAGCCCGGCGCCTGCCTGCTCGCCTGCGGGCGCTGCGACCTGATGCCGCAGTCGCTGCTGCGAGGCAGGCGGGCGGGTGGCACGGCTGCGCGGTAACTGCTGGTATGAGTGCGGCCTGGAAACCAGCAGTGCGACGCCCGCAGCACAGGTTGCCACACCGTGGCTGCTCAGCCCATTGGCTGGTGCCACGCAGGCGCAGACTGCTGCGACCGGCAAGCCTGCACCCGCTGCCCCTCCATAACCTCCAGCTTTTTCTGCCGTCTTCCATTCAAAGGAAACGTTCGTTAAAACATGCCGCCACAAACTCGCGACAGAAACAAATGCCGACCAAGGGCAGTGGAATGAAATGGGATGGGGGGCTGCAAAATGCGCGAGGGCTCCGAAGTTGCGCCGCCAAGTTCTGCGCAGCGGCGGATGATGAACGAAAGGGCGACAAGCGTTTTCAGGGGCGGGGGTGTGCTCAATGGGACCGCGCGCGATACGGCAGCTGTGCTTCAGGGTGCGTTGGTGCAGCTGGCGGCAGGGGAGGGGCAGGCACGCCACGAGGCGGCCGCACGGCTCCCAGGCCGGGCCAGCGCCGCTCCATGCGAACGAAATCGAAAATCACCGGTGGGGCAGGGGAGCACGAGGTTGTGATGTGCTGTGTGAGACGGGCATGAAACCAGTGCGGTGGTGCTCATCGAGATGTGTTGCTTGCGCATTGGGCAAGCAGATGAAGACGTAAATTATCTTAGGCACGGCAATCGCGCGCGGCTGGGAATGGCCTGCACGGCGGGGATCAGGGATCATCAAAGGGAAGGGAGGAGAAGGAAAAAAGCAAAGGCTCATTGGGGGAGGGGTGTGGGTGGGGTGCGGGGCACGCGGTGCGAGACATGCTGAAAAGGCGGCACCACGGCAGGGGACGCGCCAATGGATCAAAGGGGACTGAAGAACAGGGAGGCGGGGGCACGACGGCAGGGGGCCGCGGCCGCGCCATGCTCGCAGGAAACACCACAGTAGGTAATGCCGGGGAACAGGGCTAACAACAGGAGGACT